AAAACCAGGTCTTGCGGGAGAAGGCGTGCGACTTGGCGCTGGAGAACCAGGAGCTCCGCGGCCGCCTGGGTTTGGGCGCCCTGAAGGTGGAAGAGGAGGAGGAGAGCAAGTTCCAGGTGAGCCTTGCACAGCGCTGGGGCTGCGGGCAGAGCCTGCCCAGGGCCGCCGTGCTGCCGCCGGTAACCCCGGTGGGGTTAACTGTGAACGGGAGCTTCGTGTGTCAGAAGCGCCTTTGTATCCCAAATGGGGCTTCTGTACAAACCAAGCACATGGATCTGGAGTGGGTGCCACTGGTGGCGTGGGAGGTGGCAAGCTGACAGGTTCCCAGCTGTTGTAAGATTATTACATCTGCTTTTCTACACTATGTTCTAGATGTGAAGTAGTAGCTGTTAGTCTTGTGTGCTTGTCTCAGAACATGGGGGATAGTAGAAAGGGCCAGGCTCCCACTTAAAGATGGAAAACAAATCTGCAAGTGTGTGGAAGTTGGAGTCAACTTTGGAAATAGATTTACCCTCAGGTTCCTGCTGTACAAGCAAGTGGAAAATCCAGTGTTGGAAGCCTTTGCAGGGAGGGTGTGATCTCCAGGACCGTGTACTGTACTGGCTGCCAGAACACTTGTGTGACCGATGGCTTTTCCCTTGGCACAGGTTGTGAAGGAATCGCAGGTGGATGAGATTAGATTGGTGACCGGGTCCGCTGAGTCCGCAGCACTCAGACTACGTGTTCCTCTGCAGCAGGTGCAGGCCCAGCAGTCACCATTTCTGATAACTTCCATGTGGATTCTGATGGCAGTGACTCTTCAGACTCAGAGGTGAGCATGCACTCCAGGCCAAAATGCCCCCGAAACTCGGAACCACTGTGGATTAAGACTGGTGTTGTAACTTCTTGATGTAAAGTAGGCTCTTTCTAAACCAGTATTTCATTCTGCAGTCTGATCTCCTGTTGGGCTTTCTGGACAGTCTGGATCCAGAGATGTTTCTCAGATACGCCGATTCAGAGTCAACGTGCCTGGAAAAGCTGGAGGAAGAGATCTGTGGAGAAACAAATTCCATACCAACCTCCCCCTCTCCTTCTTTGGGGTCCTCATCAGCTAAGCTGGAGGCCATTAATGAACTGATAAGGTTTGATCACGTGTACACGAAGCCCCTGATGCTGGAGATTCCTGTTAAAACGGACGACCAAACCAATATGCTAGTGAAAATTGAGGAAGTAGCTCTCTCTCCATCTGAAGACAAAGCTATCCCCGAGGTCCCAGTATCTGTGAAAGAGGAACCTGTAGACAGCTTCATGCCTGAACTGGGCATCTCTCATCTGCTTTCCTCTCATCGTAGCCTTGCAGCCTCAAGCTATCTGCTGGATGCCTGTAGTGACTCTGGATATGAAGGATCCCTGTCGCCCTTCAGTGACATGTCCTCTCCACTGGACGCTGACCGTTCTTGGGAGGACAGCTTTGCCAATGAACTCTTTCCCCAGCTGATCAGTGTCTAACTCGGTAGCGTTAACTCCTCTTGGGTAACTGTCCTGGCAGGGTAACAGGATCTGCCCCTTTGGGGTGGGGGAGAAAATCAAGTGTATTTAGGAAAGTGTTGCTCACTTCTATCCATGCCAGTAGAGGGAATCACGTCCAATGCATTTCTCCTGGTGTGAAAAAACCCCAGGGTGTCCTGTCCTGCCCTCCGTCCACCCCATCAGTGTGGGCTTATGAGGGAGAAAAGTTTGTTTCTACATCAACCTGAAAATGTTCCTTTTGTTCTCCATTTAAAATAACTTCAACACCAGAACCTGCCGTGGGATATTCTTGTATAGACAACCGGGTTACAACTGAATAGTCTGTACATCCTCCAGATTTACTATGTAAATGCTTGTTTTCCATTTGCTATGTAGAGTTGCTTTCTCCATTTAATATTTAACTGTTTTGGTGCAATTAAAGTGCAATGCAGCTCGCTGAGCCTTTTCTTGCCTCGGATCTTGGTGGGGAAGGGAAGAGTATCCAGGCCTTGTAGCATTTGAAACTATAGAAATTCAAAGATATGGGTCTTCTAGTGCACCAATCCAGCAGTGCTTCTGTGGTGTATGTAGGTAGATGCTTCAGCAGCTGCTCTCTGGGAGCTCCTGATGCTGCAAACTGTTTGAGGTAGATGGGTTTGTATGGTGGCCAGAGCAACATCTGCAGCCTGAGCAGGGGACGCAGGTGGCAGCAGCTTGGTGTCTGAATGAAATCACTTGGATATCTTCCTGTTGGCTGGTAATGCTGCTCAAAATGCTGTCTGGGTGAAGGTGGATGTGTTTCCAGTGGCGTGTTGAGTGTTTTTGGAGCGGAGCGAGACATGCATTGGGGTGAAGAAGGTACAGGTTGTGTTATCACAGAATCCCTAAAGCATAAAAATGAACTTTGCAGGAGCTAATGCAGTCCTACCACAGCAGGACTTGTCCTCATCCATTTGTCCCAACATCAGTGTTAAGAACATCTGAATTGGAGTGACAAAGAAACTGAAGTTTTATTCTGAAAGTGTGAGAGCTGTTCCAGGTGTTCACACAATTGTTCTTGGTTTCAGTGTTATTTCAGGTCTTGCATTGAAGTTTGACCAAAATAACTTGAGGGAAGGAAATGGGGGTATTCTGGCTGAATATTCAATAGCAAAAACTACAGCTGTGCAATATAGCAGACTGATGAAAAATATTTAAGTAGGCTCAGAAAGTTGCTTTACTTTCAAGCTGCAAGGGGATGGCTGCAAGAGGACCCTTAGTACCCACTACATGTTGTGAATCCAGAAAGCAAAGGGGAAAAATGAGAATTTGAGCCAAAGTTCTGCATTACTTTTGTCAGTCGTGTTCAGTCTCTGGAGGGCTGGGCCTGCGCTGCGCTGCCCTTGCAGCACCATCTGTGCACGTTCATACCCAAGCCTTGCGAAGCATAGTAAGCAAAAATGTGAAGTAGGGAGTATTTCCACTGTTTTGCTTCTCTTTTTCAGCTTTACAGCTGCAGATGTTTCCTGGCATGCTTTATCCTGACTTACTGGCAGCAGTAGGTTCCAAGACAAGCTGCTAATATTTGTTGAGATCTCTTCCACACAAATAGTTCTTACTGGGGATCTGGAAGCCTAATGGCATTCAGAATTTCCATTAGTGCTCATGTTTTTAGTAGAATCAAGTCCACTTAGGTGCTACCAAGGCAGGATGAAGTGCTTTTTAAAAATATATAGACTTATCAAGTACATCAACATCCACAGATGAAAGTGTGAGCTCCTCCCAGCTCTGCCACCTCCAGTTGCATCCCCCAGGAGGCCCCCAGCTGCCTGAGAGAGCTTTCATGGGCTGGGTTTTACACCATGCTGCTCCTCTCTGCATTGGAGAAGTACTGAAGTCTTGTTGAAATCCACAGTACAATTTAAGCAAGTCAATGTTTGACTTAGCCTAGAAACCTCGGGGGGTTCTATTACTATTTTTAACATGAATCTGAAGGGCTATTTTCCCCTCATCTTGAAAGCAAAGCTGATACTGCTCTAGCTCACCCATCTTTATCCTTCAGCTGCGTGGAAAGAACCAAACCTCTCAAGCAGAAGATGTTAAACAAAATAGTGTTACATTCCAGTAAAATTACTACAATTGGAATTGAAAACTCTCCTCAACTATCACCTGACTTTATACAGAACTAACAAGCTCTTCTTCATTTTAGTCTGTTTTCAGATACTTCATTTTACTTCAGAGCTATAGCAACACATTTTGGTGCCCCTTTCCTTTGTCAGAGGCCTTTGGGTTGTTACAGATTTACAGCAACTCTTTCTGCCAGCTCTAAGTTTATTCTACCCCATTATCATCCCCCACTGTCCTGTTGAACACCACGGAGGAAAGAAGGGAGATGCTAATGGGACTACATAGTTAAATTCAGAATCTTCCTAGGCCAGAAGAGTATTTTGCCTTCCAGTTGAAGGACTGGGCATACACTCTCAAGGTTTTCACTTTTAGGAGGAATGAAACGCAGCCATCTAAAAAATATTTTAGAAAATTTATTGAAAATTGACATACAAAGGGTGATTTGGTCCCAAGAGAAGACAGACCAGAATCAGATCTTCCATATTTCAAAATAAAGTTTCTCCTAATACTGCATCACATTTGCCACCCTGCTTGTAAACAGCATTAATAAAAGTCTTTGAAGGAAGCCAACAACAAGTGAAACTGTTACAAACACAGAAGTTTGAAAGCAACCAGGAGCTTGTGCTCTCTCACCTGCTCCAAATGATCGCTGTTAGCAAGACCTGGCTCAGTCCTCCC